CTACGTTTTTGTTGGGGGGAAAAATCCTAGACAAGAGCTACACCTTTGCCAACATCTATGTCCCAAACACATGACAGGACAAATTCCTCCGGGCTACTCTCCGGACATTGCAAGATTTTGCGGAGGGCTGTCTGGTCCTTGGGGGAGATTTCAATATCGCCCTTCATCCCACAGTGGACGCCTCCAGAGGCCACTCATCGACACCCCCACACACACTGCTCAAAATCCACAAGCTTCTCCACCAGTGCAGACTTACTGATTGCCGGAGGGCGCTTAATCCAACAGAGAGGGACTATACATTCTACTCTACCCCAAATGCCTGCTATACGTACAAAGACTACTTTTTCCTACTGTACTATCATCTACCCACACTGCGCGCCTTCTCAATAGGAAGGGCCACATGATCAGATCACGCACCCCTCACAATACAACTAACATCTCCACTATATAAGCCTAAGACCACTATGTGGCGGCTCTATGAATCCCTTCTCACTAACCCTCAGGTGACCAATGAAGTCCAACAAGCCCTTACAAATTACTTTGCTGAAAACCTTCCACAGGACACATCCCCCCTCTTGACATGGGAGGCACACAAAAGCATGATTAGGGGGATTCTTATCGCACCCTGTAGTATACCAAAATGGAGGAGCTACGGGCTCTGGAGGAGCTGTGGTACTCTGCCCAGGACCGGGCGCAAGCGCACACAGACATATGCGCTGTCGGAAGAGTTCCAGGATGGAAATCTGGGGGACGACGGGGGAGGAGACGGGGTCCCAAGGGGTCCCAAGGGGTCTGACTTGCCACGGCCACAGGGGACAGGACTTGATGTTTCCTCAGCAGGCACGCTGTTATGCGCCCACTCCGACCCTGCACTTTCCTCTTACCCTTCCTTTCATTCCATCTTTTCCCTTTTCTATTGCATACTTCTCCTCACGTTCTCCAAACCCTGGGGCTTGGGGTATATAACTCATAATAATGACGCGGCACACCCGTCTGTTGAATGCATGTGAAAGTATAGATATAAAGGGACCTGCGTGTCCAATGTTGTGATACTCAAAGACCTGTTAGTCCTATGCTTTACTCCATTACTGAAAGAAAAAACTAAATCTCAATAAAAAAGAAATTTAAAAAAATCCAGCCTGTTTCTGTTTATTTATTTGTTTTAACCACTTTTTGCACATTATTTTCACTTGGTGTAGGATTGTTGGGTTGTGATTTACTGGTTGTGAGGTGGGGAGAGGAGTTAGCATGTCTGTTATGTCCGATTCAACACCCAGGAGGCAATTGTCCTCTTTATGCTGCAATAACTGGTGCTACCAGATCCATAGGCACTGCAGTTGTACCACAGCTTGTTCAAGCATCAGCAGCTAGTGTGCAGTCACCTCCTGCATCTTCTCCACTATCTCCAAGTCTATCTGTATCTGTAGCACGCCCGCCGTCCTTAAGGGGTTAATGCAGGCTGTGTCAGTCACAGCCAGGGGAGGTGTGGCTAGTGCTGTGTAAACAGAAGTTATTAAACTCCTAAATGGCAGTGAATCGAGCAGTGAAACTTCAGAGGCATAATCTGTAAACAAAACCTGTTTCATTAAGCTAAAGTTGTTTTGGTGACTATAATGTCCCTTTAAAGAGAAATTATATTTTTTGAAATCCAAGTTATCTCTTGCACTTTTTTTTATAGTTCATTGCAGGAACATTACAGATTTATGAGATAAGATCAGGATTCATATACCAGAATGAGAAGCTCCTGATGGGTGGAAACATAAGAAACATTAGAGGGACACTATAGTCACCAGAACAACTACAGCTTATTGAATTTGTTCTGGTGAGTAGAATCATTACCTTCAGGCTTTTTGCTGCAAACACTGTCTTTTCAGAGAAAATGCAGTGTTTACATTACAGCCTAGTGATAACTTCACTGGCCACTCCTCAGCAGGGCCGGACTGGCCCACCGGGATACTGGGAAATTTCCCGGTGGGCCGTCGGCACCTGGGGCTGGGCAGGCAGCCGGCTCACCTGCGGCCGCAGAGGGAGCTCTTTCGGCGGCCGCAGGGTTTGCTGGCTCCTTTGGCGGCCGCAGGGGGAGCCGGCTCTTCTGGCGGCCGCAGAGGGAGCTCCTTTGGCGGCCGCAGGGGGAGCTGGCTGTTCTGTCTCTGCTGGTGTGTGTGTGTCTGCCATAGTATGTGTGTGTCTCTGTGTTATGGTGTGTGTGTGTGTCTGTCATGGTGTGTCTGTGTAACGGTCTGTCTGTGTTATGGTGTGTGTCTGTCATGGTATGTGTGTGTGTGTATGTGTGTTTTTACTCACCTTTTTTTCCCCCCACGTCGTGCTGGTCTCCCCTCGACTGGCCCTGCCTCTACGGCTGAGATTATCAAGCTTGATGAGCCAATCCGCACTGACACAGGAAGCACCTCTAGTGACCGTCTGAGTGTCTGTCACTAGAAAGCAATGTAAACACTGCATTTTCTCTAAAAAGTCAGTGTTTACATTGAAAAGCCTGCAGGGACAGGCTATAGACACCAGAGCCACTACATTAAGCTGTGTGTGTGTGCGCACATGCTAGTGAGTGGGCTTGCTTGTGTGTGTGTGTGTGTGTGTGTGTGTGCCTGCTACTGAGTGAGCTTGTGTTTTTATGTCAATGCCCTTATGTATATCAGTGAGATTGTTTATCTATGAGGCTGTGTATCAATCAGCTTGTGTCAGTGAGATTGTCTGTGTCTGCATGTGAGTATGCTTACTGTATAATTAAAAATTTTACTCTGAAAGGACCAATATTTTACATTGGAAAAAGCAATACATATATATATATATATATATATATATATATATATATATATCAATCATCTAGGTTGGCAAGACATAGACTTACATATAACATGCGACAATATAAGGCGCAATGACTTATGAGGCTGGCATAGATTTTTTTTTCCAGGGCTGCTTTGGAATCCCCAGTCCGGCCCTGCTCCTCAGATGGCTGTTAGAGATCCTTCCTGGGTCGTGGCTGCCTAAAATGCATCCAAACATTCAGTATCTCCTCCCTCTGCATGCAGACACTGAACTTTCCTCATAGAGATTCATTGATTCAATTAATCTCTATGAGGAGATGCTGATTGGCCAGGGCTGTGTTTGAATCATGCTGGCTCTGCCCCGATCTGCCTCCTTGTCAGTCTCAGCCAATCCTATGGGGAAGCATTGTGATTGGATCAGGCTACCACTTCTGAAGATGTCAGAAGACTGCTTGTTTTTCTGAGGCAAACAGCATTAGTCTTGAATACAGTAAGACTTTGCTATATTTATGGAGGCATGAGGGGGCCAGGGGGGATAGATGGTGGTTTTAATACTATAGGGTCTGGAATACATGTTTGTGTTCCTGACCCTATAGTGATCCTTTAACCCCTTAACGCCGTTACGGCATTCTATGCCGTCCCGCATTAAAAGGGCTTTAAAGCCATTGCGGCGGCATAGAACGGTCTGGTGGACTTACCTCCGCCGTGATCCTCTTCTGGAGGGCTGCCTGACAGCCCAGGCAGCCCTCCCCTGGCAAATGAGGCCCCCTATAGCTGGCTGTGGATCTGCCAGCAGGGGGACTGTATGAAATGTAGTGGGTAGTATAAAAATAAAATAATTAAACATGTTTAAAATAAAATAAATGTATTTTTATATATATAATATATGTATATCTATTATATATGTAATATATATACATATTATATATATGTAACGTCATACAAAGTGTATTTTAATATTAATATAAGTACATATATTAGTATTAAAATACACTTATAATTACATAAAAGATTAGATTAGTCTACACGTAGAATGGAAATACCTATAAATGCATATATATTAAAATTCTACGTGTATATTTAAGTAATCTTTTAACATGTGATTTGATTCATTAAAATTTGATTGACATGCCTGACAACACAGGGAGAAAGTGCAGAGAATTTAATTCGCAAGCACTATACAGGGAGTGCAGAATTATTAGGCAAGTTGTATTTTTGAGGATTAATTTTATTATTGAACAACAACCATGTTCTCAATGAACCCAAAAAACTCATTAATATCAAAGCTGAATATTTTTGGAAGTAGTTTTTAGTTTGTTTTTAGTTATAGCTATGTTAGGGGGATATCTGTGTGTGCAGGTGACTATTACTGTGCATAATTATTAGGCAACTTAACAAAAAACAAATATATACCCATTTCAATTATTTATTATTACCAGTGAAACCAATATAACATCTCAACATTCACAAATATACATTTCTGACATTCAAAAACAAAACAAAAACAATTCAGTGACCAATATTGCCACCTTTCTTTGCAAGGACACTCAAAAGCCTGCCATCCATGGATTCTGTCAGTGTTTTGATCTGTTCACCATCAACATTGCATGCAGCAGCAACCACAGCCTCCCAGACACTGTTCAGAGAGGTGTACTGTTTTACCTCCTTGTAAATCTCACATTTGATGATGGACCACAGGTTCTCAATGGGGTTCAGATCAGGTGAACAAGGAGGCCATGTCATTAGATTTTCTTCTTTTATACCCTTTCTTGCCAGCCACGCTGTGGAGTACTTGGATGCGTGTGATGGAGCATTGTCCCGCATGAAAATCATGTTTTTCTTGAAGGATGCAGACTTCTTCCTGTACCACTGCTTGAAGAAGGTGTCTTCCAGGAACTGGCAGTAGGACTGGGAGTTGAGCTTGACTCCATCCTCAACCCAAAAAGGCCCCACAAGCTCATCTTTGATGATACCAGCCCAAACCAGTACTCCACCTCCACCTTGCTGGTGTCTGAGTCGGACTGGAGCTCTCTGCCCTTTACCAATCCAGCCACGGGCTCATCCATCTGGCCCATCAAGACTCACTCTCATTTCATCAGTCCATAAAACCTTAGAAAAATCAGTCTTGAGATATTTCTTGGCCCAGTCTTGACGTTTCAGCTTGTGTGTCTTGTTCAGTGGTGGTCGTCTTTCAGCCTTTCTTACCTTAGCCATGTCTCTGAGTATTGCACACCTTGTGCTTTTGGGCACTCCAGTGATGTTGCAGCTCTGAAATATGGCCAAACTGGTGGCAAGTGGCATCGTGGCAGCTGCACGCTTGACTTTTCTCAGTTCATGGGCAGTTATTTTGCGCCTTGGTTTTTCCACACGCTTCTTGCGACCCTGTTGACTATTTTGAATGAAACGCTTGATTGTTCGATGATCCCGCTTCAGAAGCTTTGCAATTTTAAGAGTGCTGCATCCCTCTGCAAGATATCTCACTATTTTTGACTTTTCTGAGCCTGTCAAGTCCTTCTTTTGACCCAATTTGCCAAAGGAAAGGAAGTTGCCTAATAATTATGCACACCTGATATAGGGTGTTGATGTCATTAGACCACACCCCTTCTCATTACAGAGATGCACATCACCTAATATGCTTAATTGGTGGTAGGCTTTCGAGCCTATACAGCTTAGAGTAAGACAACATGCATAAAGAGGATGATGTGGTCAAAATACTCATTTGCTTAATAATTCTGCACTCCCTGTATTTGACCCTTTAACTCTCTAAGACAGCATAAAACCTGTACATAGGGGGTACTGTTTTACTCGGGAGACTTCGCTGAACTCAAATATTAGTGTTTCAAACTGCTAAATTGTATTACAACAATGATATTGCACTTTTATGGACTATATTATTGTTGTAATGTGTTTTACTGTTTTAAAACACTAATATTTCTGTTTAGTGAAGTCTCCCGAGAATAACAGTACCCCCCATGTACAGGTTTTATGGTGTTTTGGAAAGTTAGAGAGTCACATATAAGGCTTGCATTTCATTTTTTGACATTGAAATTTGCCAGATTGGTTATGTTGCCTTTGAGAGCGTATGGTAGCCCAGGAATGAGAATTACCCCCATGATGGCATACCATTTGCAAAAGTAGACAAGCCAAGGTATTGCAAGTGGGGTATGTCCAGTCTTTCTTAGTAGCCACTTAGTCACAAACACTGACCAAATATTAGTTTTTTGCTTTTTTCACACAAAAACAAATATGAACGCTAACTTTGGCCAGTGTTTGTGACTAAGTGGCTACTAAAAAAGACTAAACATACCCCACTCTCAATACCTTGGGTTGTCTACTTTTTCAAATGGTATGCCATTATGGGGGTAATTCTCATTCTTGGGCTACCACACCGTCTCAAAGGTAACATTACTAATCTGACAAAGGTAACATTACTAATCTGAAAATGGAACGTCCTATATTTGACCCTGCAACTTTCCAAAACACCATAAAACCTGTTAATGGGGGTACTGTTGTACTCGTGAGACATCGCTGATTACAAATATGTGCATTTTTGTTTGCAGTAAAACCTAACAGTATTATGACATTAACAGCTAAAATGTCAGACGGAAATACAAATTTAAAAAAAAATCTTATTTTCTCACATTTTTTTTAAATTTTATTCACAATACATTATGTTCCATATATGAATAGTTAATAATAAATTAAAGCCCTGAACAAAATGATATATAATAAGTGTGGGTGACAGCGGTGAATTACGGTGAATTACGGTTGAACAGACATATAGCGCAAATTCCAGTTTTTGTTTATGTTTTGTTTTGATCAGAACATGTACTGTTGACTCCATCCTGAAGGGGTTAAACATGAAATAAATAATTTGGATAAGCACTACAGCAATCAGTATTAGACATCTTAAGATAGGGCTAGTTACCAAGCCCAACATGTCCAAAAATGCCCAGATCAGAAGTGCCAAGCCTGGGCACTCATCATGTAAAGTTTGACTGGAAAAAGACTAACTTTCGATCCAACACAGACTTCAAGGCTGCTGCTGGGTAGGTGCCACTCAGAAGTAGCAATTGTTTGCAAAAAAACTTGAGTAAAATGCACACACTAAAAAAGGAGGGAATACATCCTGCAGGGTGCTCCAGAAAGGGAGGGCTAATCCCTGAAGACATCAAATGGAAAAAAAGAAATATCCAGGCACACCTGAGTTATTTCTAAAAGGCAGTGTTTATTTGACACAAAGAAGTGGAGAAAACGTTTTGGCTCCTCTCTGAATCTGTTGTCGCTACATAAATGGCAATAATAATAAAGGCTCAGAGAGGAGCTGAAACATTTTCTCCACTTCTTTATTTCAAATAAAGACTGCCTCTTAGAAGAAACCTCAGATGTGCCTGTATATATTTTTTTCCACTCAGAGGTAGCAAGTCTATAGAGCCCCATTCAAGGGGGCTCCTCATAGCTCTCGGTGTTCCTAACCTCCTCTACCTTCCTCCAATTAACGCTCTGCTGAAAGTCTGTGTAGTTGAGCAGTGTGGGATGAAACTTGCACTGGGCAGCGGATTCGGCCCTATGCGAGTTATAGTTCCATTTAGTCTGTTATCATGGGTGGCTGCTACAGTCCAAGTCATGCATGTAAAGTCCCAGGAGTTGGAATCCTAGAACTCTGCTGCCTTGCAGGTGCTGGTATAGGAAGGAAAGCAAAGGTGGGTGACTGTAAAGATTTATGTAATTATGCCACAGGAGGGTTACGCTAACACTAATTAGCCTAAATGGCATCATATGGCTAGTGGGACATTTGCACCCAGAAAACTAATATTAATGAATTTAGAAATTAATTTTCTTGTGTGATGCAAACTTGTAAATAGAATTTTGGTGAAACTATTTTTTTTTGTTGTAAATTTCTTTTTATTGAAAGAAAATACGGCAATAGTGTACACAATGAGAAACGCAGGTCCCAACCAAGCGCTTATTGAGATGAGACACGCAGATCTCCGATCTTTCATTCTTTCGGAACTTAAACACTGTAAAAAGAAACATAAGAAAACAGGGAATAGGGTAGTATCCTCTAACATAAAGCGTGGACAGTAGCAGACGTGTAGGTCTCAACCACTTACTGGGTGCAATGAGACATGTTGGCCTCAAATAATTAGTTCCTTCTGACTTTTGAAAGCATGAATAAAACAATTGTAAAAAGAGATAATAGGGTTTCCCTTGTGTTTGCATTATCTTCCATGCCGTGCTGTCATACAAAGGGTCTCATTTGACAATTTTTGTGTAACTTTGGTGTAATACTTTTTTTGTTTTAAATATATTTATTGTTTCATATTAAGAGCAGTTTTCCCACGCAGGGGAGGTATTCGAACCATAATAAACATACTTCATAAGCGTTTGCCACTTTGTGCGTTACACATCAAATTAGAGCAGTCAATGCCTAGTAAGGCGAAAAGTGTAATGCATTTGAACATAAGTTACATACGAAGGGTTAGGCAGATAACATAATGCACATCAGTTCCGACTTTAGTAATAATAAGCCTCTCTCAGCATCCTACTGTTCAGTCGGCATATGTGAGCCGTAAAAGTTTAAGCTAGATCTGAACTGAAGTTTATGCGCTGTTGTCTATGCTAGATTCTAACGGGTCAGGCTAAGTATGTTACATAACGTTTTATGTCCATTCTTGACTTAGTATTACTAGGCAATGTGCAGCACCCTGATAGTGCATCCATGCATGTTGGCAGCAATGAGTTTAACTGTGGCTTTACTAAAGGGCACACCATTAGACTATGTCTGAGCATATAGTGCTGTATTTGTTAACTAAGTCTAGCAGCTAAAGAAGTGGAGATCAGCTCAGAAAGGCTCCAATTAAATGTATGGTCTGGCTTTAAAGCAGTTTAGCCCCCAGTAGCTACTGTCAATGAAGCAGAGTCCTAACTATTTAGCGTAATGTTAAACACATGCGGCAAGAATGTTATGTAGTAATCAGGCAATGTAAGTCAGTGAGAAAGAGTTAATCTTTTGCTTTTAGATATTAAATTGACATTTTGGCGCGTGTTTAAGTAAGCAGGTTTTCTAGATATATCATGTGATCTAACTGTGTATTGTTACCCGCAGCATTAAACAGTTTGGACTGATACAAAATCGTTGCAGTGTTGTGCTAATTGATATAGGAAGGATACACATTTTCTTAAAGGACCACCCTAGGCACCCAGACCACTTCAGCTTAATGAAGTGGCCTGGGTGCCAGGTCCCTCTAGGATTAAACCCTTTTTTTATAAACAGTTTATAAATGGGTAAATCCAGCCTCCAAATCCTCTAGTGGCTGTCTCATTGACAGCCGCTAGAGGCACTTGTGTGCTTCTCAATGTGAAAATCACAGTGAGAACACGCAAGCGTCCATAAGAAAGCATTGTAAATGCTTTCCTATGAGACCGGCTGAATGCGCACGCAGCTCCTGCCGCGCATGTGCATTCAGCCAAAGAGGAGGATCGGAGGCGGAGAGGAGGAGGAGAGCTCCCCGCCCGGCGCTGGAATAAAGGTAAGTTTAACCCCTTTCCTCGCCATCCAGCCTGGCAGGAGGGGGACCCTGAGGGTGGGGGCACCCTCAGGGCACTATAGTGCCAGGAAAACTAGTATTTTTTCCTTGCACTATAGTGCTCCTTTAAGTTAATGGCTGACCCCATTATGTGCTTAATCGCCAGTGCTTTAGCGTATCTGTCAACCAGTCTAGAGGTGTTGCAACATAAACGGCGTGTTCATGGCTAATACAACTTCTGACATATGCATCATATGACTGTGATAGGTCAGAGCCGATTGTCTCGTATCAGCGTCTCATAAATTATGGCGTGGGTTTGCAATAATTATGAATTGTAAGTGGAGTGATCATACTATATTGCACGGTCTGATCTAGGCTGTAGTTACCGGTGCGGTACTAGCTTTTGAAATATAAAACAGACATATTACATAGAATGCAGTGGTTGCGACTAGTATGTTATGTCTCTAACATGTGAAAGTAACGTTTGTGTGAGAAATTAAATGTAATAATAGGAATAATAATCAATCAGCAGACATAAATTGACACGTTGCTGCGTGGTCTGAAGCGTTGTAATCTGTAATGCTTTGCATGTCGCTGTTGCGGTGTAGCCCTCAGGTCTCCGAGACTCTGCCCGTTCACCCCACACCAGCCCGTGCCCACCGGCCTGGGTCCTCAGCGGCGCCATGGGCACTAGGGGCAGAGGTTGTCCACTAGACCCCACCACAAAGTCTGTAGCCCTCCCGCCCCCTGCACCTCCCCAGCGTCACATTGTGTCCTATAGGGCAAGCACCCCCATGTCTCTCCCACAGCCAGCCTCACTCTTGATGCTGGTACACAGTCCCCTTGGCCACTGGTCTGCCGGTGGGACCGCACACTCCTGCCTCACAGGGTTTGCGGCAGCGGAGACATTGGTCTCCGGGGACCCCCATACCCAGGGATCGGGGTACTAACTGCTCCGGCTGGCGTGAACAGGGCCGTCTTTAGCACAGGGCAAACGGGGCAGTTGCCCCTGGCCCAGTTGCTCCTGGGGGGCCCCAGAGCAGCTGCCCCATGGCCCCGTGATTTCAGCAGCCCCCATGTACCCAGCGGTGCAGCCGCACCGGCCCGCCAACTAAGGAGGCCCCCCAGGCGGCCCATGCACTAAGGGCCACCCAGTTACCATGTGTCAGCAGGGGCCTGGTCGGGCGCTGTGACGCTTAAACAGCGCGACCGGGCCCCTTTCTGTACCGGCTGGGAGGAAGTGAGTGCGGCGTGTCACTTCCTCCCACCGGAGATAATAGCCGTGTGGGAGGAGGAAAGCAGGGAGGAGGGGAGTTCTTCAAGATAACTCCCAACTGCCTCAGCCTGCCACTGGACCCCAGGGAAACCACCCTCCATAAAAAGGTAAGAACCTGGAGGGTGGCTAAATGTATGTCAGTATGTCTGTGTGTTTGTTAGCATGTCTGTGTGTTTGTTAGTATGTCTGTGTGTGTGTCAGTATGTCTGTGTGTGTGTGTTAGTATGTCTGTGTGTGTGTGTGTATGTCAGTATGTCTGTGTTAGTATGTCTGTGTGTGTGTGTGTGTGTGTATGTCAGTATGTTTGTGTGTGTGTGTTTGTGTCAGTATGTATGTGTGTGTGTGAGTGTGTATGTCAGTATGTCTGTGTGTATGTGTTAGTATATCTGTGTGTGTGTGTATGTCAGTATGTCTGTGTGTATGTATGTCAGTATGTCTGTGTGTGTGTTAGTATGTCTGTGTGTGTGTATGTCAGTATGACAGACATACTGACATACACACACAGACACACTGACATACACATACACACACACACGCACAGACACACTGACATAAACATACACACACTGACATACACACACACTGACATACACACACATACATACTGACATACACACACAAACATATACACACACAAACATACTGACACACACACACACAGACATACTAACATACACGCACAGACATGCTGACATACGCACACAGACATACTGACATACACACACACACAGACATACACACTAACACACACACTAACACACACACACACACACACAGACATACTAACACACACACACACTAACACACACACTAACACACACACACACACACACACAGACATACTAACACACACACACAGAGACATACTGTGTGTGTATATGTCTGTGTGTGTATGTCAGTATGTCTGTTTATGTCAATACGCCTGTCAGTGTATGTGTTTCAGTATTTCTGTCAGTGTATGTGTCTGTGTGTGTGTGTCAGTATATATAACAGTGTATGTGTCTGTTTTTATGTATGTGTGTCTGTGTGTGTATCAGTATGTCTGAATGTGTGTCAATATATTTTCCAGTATATATTTGTGTGTCAGTGTATGTGTGTGTCAGTATGTATCTGCGAATGTTTTAATATGTCTGTCTGTGTGTGTATGTGTCAGTATATCTGTCAGTGTGATTGCGGGTTGGGCGTAATGGGGAGGGGGGCGCAGGGACAGGGCCCAGGGGGCCCAAGAAAATGCTTTGCCCAGGGTCCTATTCATATTATAGACGGCCCTGGGCATGAAGGCAGTGTGGAGATTCCGTTCAGCGCTTGATACCTTCTGGGCCTGCCCGAGCTGTCACTGTCGGTTCCCCTTATTATGTACTGTTGAGGCATTCTGAGTGGTCTGCTGGCTTGCTGTCTTATTTATAATCTGCAAATCTGTGTAGCAAAACAAGTAAGGGTATTGCCTATGGGCCATTTTGAATGTTCGTAAGAGTTTCCGGGTGCTTCCACTTGGTGGCCCCCTTGGGACTGCGGCAGGAGAGCGTTCATATGTGAAGTTCC